GAGGGGGGCAGCGCAGCCCTGAGCTCAGCGCTGGTCTAGCCTGGACAGGACCAGCGGGGAGTGGGCTGGTGACGGTTCCTGTGTGAAGCGCTTGGAACCAGAGGACCCCCAGGGCCCCCTCCCCTGTCACCTTCAGGGGGGTGCAGAGGGGGAGCGAGGGAGGAGGGTCACCTGGGACCCCGGCAGGCCCCGTGGGTGCAGTTTCAGGACTTGGCCAGCAGAGGGCGCCAGAACTCCACAGTCGCATCAGGCCCTGCAGGCCGCCCTGGGGTGGACACCCGGCTGTGGGTCCGCTGGGTCCGCGGCCTTGTCTAGGGCCTCCCAGACCCTGCATCAGGGTCACGGCCACAGCTTGTGAGCTCCACGCGGAGGTGACCGCGGAGGTGACCGGGCCCAGGGGCTCTGGCCTACGCAAAGTCCCCCAAGTGCTGTGTTCTCCACAGGCCCCTGGGCTGGCCAGGGGGCTTCATGGGGCAGGCGCAGGGTGGGGCGGTGGATCTCTTGAGTTGAGCCTGGCTCCGGCCCACCCCCGGGGGCTTGTGGGGCGGAGCCCTTCAGGGGTGGCATGGCCACATCCCTGGGAGGAGGTGCTGGGCTGGACGGGGGTCCCCGCAAAGCAGCTGCTCTGATCCTCCGGCCCCTGCCCAGAGGGAGGGGGGCCGAGGCTGAGGTGCAAGGACAGGTGCGCGCCCACCTTTTCCGCTGCGTGCCCTCTGCACCTGGCCCTGTGCTGGGCGCAGGGTCCCACATGGGGCTGTCACCCCAAGGGCCCCGGTCACCCGGGTCGGGGGATAGAGCCTGGGTGGGGCTCCAGGGGGAGGATGCCAGAGGTGCAGCCTGCCAGCGGCCTGCGAACAGGAGACCGCGGGGCCCTGGGGTGGCGGCTGGGGCACGGTGTGGGTGACCGAGCCCCTCCTTCCCCCGTGCCCGGGGCCTCAGGCCCTGGCTGGGCGGCGGCACCCCCCGCCGGCTGGGTGGAGGGTGGCCCTCGGCAGGTCATGCGGCCGGTCCCCTGTCCTCACCTGTCCCTGGAGGCCACCAGACCGGCTGGACCTTGGCCCGAGGGTGGGGGGTGCTTGGGGGAGCCTCATAGTGGGGGCCCCTCCAGCACCCTGGGAGG